TACAGTAAAACCTCTCTAACTTGGACACTTGCGGTTCCACGATAATGTGTCCAACTTACAGAGGTGTCCAAGATAGAGGGAAATGGAAAAATTATCCTTTCAAATTGTGGTGTAATGACAATGTGGTAATTGTAGATTATTATGGAGCCCTTCCCAAAAAGGAAATTATTGATAAGAAAAATCAAAAAGTTAAATTATTTTTTTACAAATTTTGTTTTGAGTAAATTAAACTTGCATGGATAAGCTCAAAGGGAAGGACACCAATACTTTACGTTTACCGACAATGTAATCTATTTACTTACATAATCTAACCACTGTAGGCTTGCTTGAATGAAGAATTAATGACAATAATAATAATGTTTTGAAACCCACTCTCATGGTTGCACATTACATCCAAGACTCAATGAAATTTTAAATGTTCAGAATGTATTTTTTTAAGCTCAACATAAGATGTCACTTATTTGTTATGAAAAACCCGTTACAAGACACTGCTTTTTTGCTTTTATCTTGGAATTTGCCATCCTCTTACTAATTTTTGCCGTAATTAATTGGAATAAATTTTCAACCATTCCTTGTTAGTTATGAGCGAAGGCATACCGTTCCAATTTATGTTAACACTGTTTAATTCAGTTTCAAGCATTGTACTGACAAAGTTAAAACTCCAGTGAGGGGTTTAACAAAGGAATAACTATACACTTCCACTGCATTCCGATGATGTGTTCAATGTCTCACACCCTCAACCATAAGGTACTTCTCAGGTAGAAGGCATTCATCAGTCAGAAATTCAAAAGAACAAAATACTAACTGTAAACGTTTCCCATAAAGGCATTGAAGCTAAGTGCATGCTTGCACCTGTCCAACTTAAAACAAAAGGGGTGACCAAGTTCCAGGATAAAGGGGTGTCCAAGATATAGAGTGTTGTGGACATGTAAAATTATGGGATATTCGCCGGTTCCAATTAAAAGTGTCCAATATAGAGGGGTGTCCAGGATATAGGGGTGTCCAACCAGAGGGGTTTTACTGTATACACCAATACTCTCATAAATATGTTACTACCTGTCTAGCATTTACCGATTTTTAAACTGAGATCTATCATCAGATATTCTGATGCATAAGAAATGTATCACAATAAGGCAAAATAATCGGATGAAATTACATGTTAAAACTGTATTTGACTGAACCACACATGCTTGAACAATCCGCAATAGAGAAACAAATCTGATACAGAGCGAATAACAGAGTTTATTTTGCAGTTCCTAACTCTGCACTGCAGATAATTTTCCTGGGTGCTGCGGAAGCCGTGTCCACACCCATCACAAAAAATGTTTAAAAAACTGCTTATTTTTTAGGATCTTTTATGAAGTTTCATTCAATTCATTGATAAATCTATAATTTGGACTTCTATCTACTCTTTGGTATAGGTTATGTTCAGATAGTTAAAAGTTATATATGTGAGAGTCGTCAAGCAGGGGCTGTAACATCCCTCCATGCTATATCTCATTTCCTACATTTCCGTAACATTTTCAAACTACAGAAAAGCATAACTGCTCTTGTCAGCATAGTCTATGCTCAAAGCATTAGAAGAGAGATCATTCTAGACAACTAGACCATTTCTTCCAACAATATGAAAGACGTATGTAAGATTTGAGGTTTTCACAGCAGCGAGTATGAAGATATCTAAAATATATAATAAAATTCAGGTCAATACACAAACTTTATTTAGATGTTAAAATTTAAAATTTAAATGTTAAAATTTAAAATTCAAATTTGCGCCATTCATCACTATAACGATATTACAATAGAGCGCTTTCATTCACTTCACTACATGTTTCGATGCAAAGCATCATCTTCAGGTGTTGTCTTTTAAAACTATTTTATATTATAATGCATGTCTTTCAATATATTCGTCCGTTTTGTTCATTATTGTAGCATGTGTTCCGTTGATCCTCCCGTTTTACGCATCTTATGTTTGTTTTGATTATTCATAAGTCGTGTTGTGAATAATCAAAACAAACATAAGATGCGTAAAACGGGAGGATCAACGGAACACATGCTACAATAATGAACAAAACGGACGAATATATTGAAAGACATGCATTATAATATAAAATAGTTTTAAAAGACAACACCTGAAGATGATGCTTTGCATCGAAACATGTAGTGAAGTGAATGAAAGCGCTCTATTGTAATATCGTTATAGTGATGAATGGCGCAAATTTGAATTTTAAATTTTAACATTTAAATTTTAAATTTTAACATCTAAATAAAGTTTGTGTATTGACCTGAATTTTATTATATATTTTAATCATAAAACACAAACATGACGCATGTAAACCTTAAAATGAAGATATCTGTCTTCTGGGTCGTTGCGCTGTGTAATCTGGTCGATGTTAACCAACGTTTCAGCGGTTGTACTGCCTCCGTCATCAGGGTGATGAACTACACAGCACAACAACCCAGAAGACAGAAATCTTCAATATGAAAGACCCTTCTGTCCTCATCTTTAAGGAAGTGACAAAAGGTGAGATTACATACGATGCCTGAAGATGAACGCAAAAGGTTCCGGTGAAACATCAAAAGCTTCTTCCAATACCATATGGTAAAATCATCAAATCTTTCAAGTCCATACTCGTTGTCCTTGGGTACTACAGAAAACTACCACACAAAACTGACATTTGAAAGTGGTAAAGCTAACGCAAAGGGAAACCTATTACTATACTGGAAGCATTTAATTTGTCTGTTTTTGCTGTGCCACTTCCCTTACGCCAAATACATTTTACGATCTATAATTTACATAAAAGAATTCCAAAAGACAATGCTGGAATGTTATTAAGATTATACCAACCAACAGCAAACTTACAATCATCATCATAAAATGAGCACACGTACTTATTATACACGGGAAATACACGAAGAACTGGGAAGTTTCTGCTCCAGAAGACAAGAAGAGAAGTCACTGCCACTCAGCATTCTCCCCAATACAGTAATTTGTTACCTTAATTATTCACATTACATAGAAATGAACATAATTGTAAAGTTAAACCCAAAACCTGGCATCTCATAATGGCCTTTAGCACATGGGAATTGAAGAGTTAATTCAGAAGAAGAAACTATCAAGGAAACATAACAAAAAATATCATGAAGATTTCTGTCTTCTGGGTTGTTGCACTGTGTAGTCTGGTCGATGTTTACCAACGTTTCAGAGGTCATACTGCCTCCGTCATCAGGGCAATTCATAGCGGAGGTAGTATGACCTCTGAAACGTTGGTAAACATCGACCAGTCTACACAGCGCAGCAACCCAGAGGACAGAAATCTTCATACTCACCGCTGTGAAAACCTCAAATCTTACAAAAAATATCATGTTCACTATAATATACAAGACGCTACACCGTATAAGATTTGAGATTTCCACAGCAACGACGATAATGACAATGTTCTTCTACGATCTGACACTGTGCGGACTGGTCGGTAGATGCCATTGTTTTGGAGAAACACACTGTCTCCATCTTCCAGGCTGAAGTGTTGATGCTGGGGTTCATAGGAATCACAGGGATTACAGGGGGTGGCAGGAAGAGAAGTCTGAAGGAATCGGTGAATCAGGATGAAAAGAGGTAGTGACTGAGCTGGGCCAATGACAAGACTCCACACAGGCATCAGAGAAGTGGAAGCAGATGGAGGGTAGAAAAGAGGAAGGCAGACTAGAAGAACATCAGCATTACCCAACAAATGTAATCCTTAGAATTTATTACATCAAGTGCAAACATGTGGGTTACTCTAAAATAATCAACAATACACAAGGAAAATGCCACGTGTAACAAGACTTCTGCTACCGAGTGACTCTTTCACTATTTTTACAAATATCTGACAAATTAATATAAGACAATAATGCTTAAACAGTAATTCCCAGTACCTATGAACAAATATTCTCTCTCAAGACACTAAGACAAATTACTGTTGTCTTAATAACCCACTTCATATCTCAGTTACTCCAACACTTCAAACACAAGAAATTTCTTCATGAAGTGAAACTTCAATCATAATGAAATAAAGCATTACAATATGACAGAACATTGACAAGTGAAGCATCACAGCCTAACAAATGACAGTTTTCAGAATAATGAATCAAACACAAATGCTGACATTTAACATCCCATTTGTACCTTGCAGAACTATGATTCTTGGGCTGGAAGCAAGAACAGCGATCGAAATTGGTTACATACAAACCTCAAGGCTTTATAATGATGTATAATGCTTTGGTAAACTTACCCATCAGTCAAGAGACATTGTGGCCCAGATTCTCTCTAAATAAATGATCACTCATTGCCTGAATCAGATTTTTTTTTATATCCTGTACACACCATTCAGCATGGTGCACATTGGTGGTTAGCAGGATTCACAACCCATCAGTACGTGGGTTCGATCGGGACCGCGACATTTAACGCTCCTGCTGTGACCCCCTTTTTACGAAATGATGATGAAAGTAGAGTAATTGTTGGGATGCCACGGAGAAAGCGGGGAAACCCCGGAGGAAAACTCTGTGATGCCTGGACCACGGCCTTGCCCAACACCAGTTGTAAATCTGAGTACCGCCGGGAATCGAACCCGGGGCCCCAGTATTACAAGCCCAGCGTTCTAACTGCTAGACCACCGTGGCGGTGCCTGAATCAGATAAGATATATTCATGAATCTTTTTTTAACATACAGGATGAATCATAAGTTGCTTTACCAAGCTTGCAATCACCATGTATGTATTCAATATTTAACATAAACATAAAAAAATCAAGAAAACATATCCATGGTTAGCACATTTTACACTAAGCATTCAATCAATGTCTGAAAACTGTCTCAGTAAAGCTCCATATGATCCCCCGTGTACATGAAAAGCGCCGAGTCAACCTGGAAACGTTCACGCAGCAAAAGAAAGGCACAGACAACGTGCATTAGAGAGTGGAATGTTTACCCTCTTAGAATTCAAAGTCTACAGTCGTAATGCAAATATCATAGTCTAAAAGTGTTCTGTTTACATCTCAAATTCACTCTCTCTCAGGCAGATTCTCCACACTAGCACATACCTCCTCTTCTTCTTCATCATCCTCACTGAAAAGCTTCTTTGACAGTTTCTTCACGCTCTTGCGACCAGGTAGACTATTAGATTCACTCCTGCGACCTTTGAGTTTAATTCTGACCTTCATCGAGTCATTGTCAGAGTGTACTTCATCATCTACAGCAGGCTGGCCTGAGTGACAGAAACAATAAAACACAAATCTACAATCCGACATATTTTCCTGAAAATGAGAATAGCGTACATTGTGAAACTTAAAAATGTGAGATCTGTGGTGAAGATGTTGACTGTGGTCTTCTAGGTTGTAAGTGGCTATCAATGTTTCAGAAGAATGTTGTAATGAAAAAAAGAAGCGAAATTAAATTCAATATAGAATTTAAATTATTTCAATTAAAATAATTATTACCAACTGCAAACATTAAAACTCAGGAAGATTTCTGTCTTCTGGGTTGTTGCGCTGTATAGTCTGGTTGATGTATACCAATGTTTCAGAGGTCATACTGCCTCCGTCATCAGGGCGCAACAACCCAGAGGACAGAAATCTTCATACTCACCGCTGTGAAAACCTCAAATCTTACATTAAAACTCAGGTTCAGACTTCAAAAACTAGGGTCAAGTCATGTTCATTTCTTTGTTCTCACCAGTACATTCACGAGATCATAAAATCCATAACCATTAAAAAATAATTTTAATTGAAAATTACAAACAGTTAATTTCTATATTAAACCACATGAAAAACAATACTGTTTATCCAAATATCATATATGCTTTTCCCAAAAAATGTCAATATAAGTGACATGGACAAACACAGGTGTTGGAAATTAAAGAAACAAAGCAGCTGCAATCATTTACTGCCTATGAGTAACTGAAGGTGCAGAACAAACAGTCAAACCTGCCATGGCCAAAAAGTCTGCTGAAGTGAATGAAAACTGATCCAAGACTGAAGAAAAAGATAATAAAATTTATAGAAGTGTAAGAGGCATCTTCCATTATAACTACAAGGTCCATGCTAGGGTTCAATCTGTAAGAAATCTTTGTTTCTCCCATATACCATTCAGATGAATATTTGCTGCAAGGAAACCTCTTGCTTATTTAACATAATTCTATTCCTTCAACTGGGCAAAACTGTGATCTTCCATCATTCTAAGTACACACATGGTCACTTGTCAAAGAAAACAAAAACAATCATAAATACAACAAGTTAATTTCTTTGTTACAGACTTCATATATCATCTTTTTAAGATGCCTTAAAAATCTTAAAACCTTAACAAACCACTGTTTTGAATGATGGAGTGTCCTTCGTCTTCAGGTAAAAAAAGGGTACCACAAGATCAGGAACAGTTCAGTCTATTAAATCAAACAATACATGTAACCTTCCCTTTCTTTACTTCAAGATGAGGACACACTCACCCCTTGAACTACAGTAATTATTTTAGGTTTTAAGATCCTTCTAAGGATTTAAAGAAAAGAAAAGATAAATGAATAACGTCAAAAATAAAGAAAGAAGTACCACAATACCATCACCAAAGATATTCAAAGAACTACAACTGTCATCTCTAATGCTTTCAGGCTCACTTTTACCATTAAAAAGGAGGGGATACATTCTTCCAAAATAAAAACACCTAAACCATCATAACCTAGAAGACCACAACTGACAAACCTAAAAATGGTTGAAGATCTAACAAAAAATGCCAGATAGCGAAACTGCACTGCACCTGTTACTTAACAGTGAATAAAATTTAGGCTTGGAAATCTATCACAACTAAACGTTCATTATACATTTTCAGCAATTTTTATCACATAGAATAAGTTTTAAAGGTCTGCTGAAATACACTGTAATAGAATTTCAATGTAAAAATTGCTACTTACGTATTGTTACTGATCGACGGCTGTTTTCTGCCTCTACACTCATTAAACAGTCATCTGAAATAGGAAAAGACCAATCAATCATCCACTTGAAATTATACATTCACACAAAAACAGTGCCATACAATGCATTAATAACAATTTTATATAAAAAAACATTCAGTTGTCTTCAGTGGAAAGTCGTGACATCATGAATTAGGATCTAGAACAGCATAAATCTGAAAGAGAATGTATATTTATTAACTACCCAGAACTGTTAAGTTTGTACATGACCTCATGTACCCTCATAACGAATAAAATGTTTCTGTATATTTTGTATTCTGACGTTCTACATGAACTGTCTGTATACAAAGACAAGACATTTCCAGTATACAGAAAAGCTAGCCAAATATGAATAATGAATGTTGAAAGTACAGCACAACAGTGACTGGACAGCATGCAAAGTGTGAAACATAAAAATTCTTTTAAAAACTATCAGATTTTGTGTGTGCTATGATTGTATAAAAATACTGTTTCAAATGATGAGTAACCAAACATTCTTGCAATGATTACAATAACCTCAAATATTCTATATAAAACTCCACCCTATTTAAAAAACTAAAGAAAAAATTCATACATATATTTATTCTTCAAGTCTATACACAAACTATATTAATATTGATGTTAAAAATTAAAATTGATATAAATATTTTGCGCTATTCATCGTTTCCTCGATGTTACAATTTGCGCTATATATTACAACATGTTTCAATGTCTCAGCATCATCTTCAGGTTTTATTTTTAAAACTATTCAATATTTTTTAATGCACGCTTTTCAGTATTTGTAGATTGTAGGTTGTAGTTGTGGATGTTCCTTTTTTCTTCTGATTCTTTTGCATATTATGTGGCGTATTATATTATTTGTTCATTATTTCTGTGAAATTATCAACAATATAATTAACATTATTAATATTATTTATATGTAAATGAGTTTGGATATTGTTATAAAAATTCACTATAAACATAGAAGCACAATAACATACCAGGAGTTTTATGTGTCGTGTATCCTCGGTTGGTCAGGTCTGATCAGGTGAATGTCAGTTCATAGACTGGTTTGGTGTACTGATATAATAATTATGAACAAAAACCAAAACACAAAATACATAATAAAAATAAAAACAAAAACGAAAATATTCAAAACAAATGGGCCACCTTCACGTATGTAGGTAAAGAAACTAAATACATATCTAAAATATTCAAAAATAATAATATAAAAGTTGCATACAGAACAAAAAATACAATAAAAAACATCTTAAAACAAAAACAACAATTAGACACAAAAAACCAATACGAACAACCCGGCATATATAGATTAAAATGCATAGATTGCCCTTTAACCTACATAGGCCAAACAGGACGTACCTTTAAACAAAGACACAAAGAACACAAAACAGCCATCAAACATAATAAGGATTACTCAGCTTATGCAAAACATATATTAAACACAGGGCATACATATGGGGGAATCGAACAAACATTGGATATTATAAAAATCGTGCAAAATAGACGACATAGAGAAACTATAGAAAAATACTATATACAACGTACACACAAACAAAATATTGCGCTAAACGACAACAACCCATATTTAAATAATCCTATATTTAACACAATCCAGGTTATTGACCCAACCCCCTAACACCATTTCTACCTATATATACGACCCACATCAGTACACCAAACCAGTCTATGAACTGACATTCACCTGATCAGACCTGACCAACCGAGGATACACGACACATAAAACTCCTGGTATGTTATTGTGCTTCTATGTTTATAGTGAATTTTTATAACAATATCCAAACTCATTTACATATAATTAATATTAATAATGTTAATTATATTGTTGATAATTTCACAGAAATAATGAACAAATAATATAATACGCCACATAATATGCAAAAGAATCAGAAGAAAAAAGGAACATCCACAACTACAACCTACAATCTACAAATACTGAAAAGCGTGCATTAAAAAATATTGAATAGTTTTAAAAATAAAACCTGAAGATGATGCTGAGACATTGAAACATGTTGTAATATATAGCGCAAATTGTAACATCGAGGAAACGATGAATAGCGCAAAATATTTATATCAATTTTAATTTTTAACATCAATATTAATATAGTTTGTGTATAGACTTGAAGAATAAATATATGTATGAATTGAAAACACAAACATGACGCATCTAAACTATAAAGAAAAAATAACAAGGTAAACACAAGCAAATAAAAAATTAATAAATAACTAATTTTGTCATGTCCCAACCAGGATTTTCTTCCCCCTCCTCTTCCTCTTCTTCTTCATCCTCTTCTTCAGCTGGTTCTGAATCCTGTTCCAGTCGAACTCGGGCATTTGCAAACACTGTCTCCAATACTATTGAGTCTTCATGAATCAGCGATGCTTCTTCATTATACTTCTGTGCATTGCGACACATCTGAATGAAGTCACGTTCCAGATCGAAAAATGAGCTATACTAAAACACAGAAACACACGTTGTAAGCTGGCAGTAGTTACACTTAATACCATAATGGTACTGGCCACACTGGATATATAAGAACTAGAAGGAACATGTTACTTTTTTAATTACCTACTACAGTCTGACTACGGTGAATTTGTTTGCAAAAAATAAGCAAAACACTTCATATGCAACATACTGCACAAAAACATGTTACAAATAATTTTGTTACCTTAAAAACTTCACTCTAATTGCTGGTATGATTATCCAGAAAAATTCTAGATAGCATAACATTCAAACTTCAAAATATGACATAAAAACAAAAATGACAGTCTGAAAATTCAACACAAATCTGTTAAAAAAAGTTATATAACTTGATGTACCAGGTCTGACAGAAGCCAACATATGTATTAAGTCACTGAATTCTAAATTAGGTCCATACAAGGTGTAGCTTGCAGGCAATAAAAATGCAGAGTTGCATTCCAATGCTGCCATACACAAATTATCACTGTGACCAAAAACAATTTAATTTCATTCAAGAACCTTGTGAATGTTCATTCCTTTCATTAGGGTAAGGAAATGGATTGAACAGAACTGTATTAAACTAGTGTTTTCTAAGTGCAAGCCAAGCCATGCCCCCCCCCCCCCAAAAGCCACA